GAATAAGGAAAATCTACAGATATAGATCAACAACACTTCTAAATACAGTCAAATAAAAGGCATTTAGCATTTATTAAAGTATATTCCACTGCATGTCCTAATTCCCCACCCATGAAATCCTATAACTACCGTTTTCTTAGGAAAACATGCAGGGAGCAGGGATTAATGAGTGGGCCTACACAAGCTACTGTTGCCGAAAAGAGTGTCAATATGGAGCGAAAATGAAAGAATAGATGTCAGAGTAAAGCCAAGGTGCTGGGATAAGGATACCTAATTGTGCAGGATGTCTTAGGATTCAGGATTGGGAGACTGTCGCACTCGGAAAATGCACTGGACTAACTTCTAATTATTCAGTAGAAGAGCATTGGTTAAGGACGATACTAAGACGTTGTCCAGGCCATCTATCAGAAACGGAAGATGTGTCTGACTTTTGAGAAGATGACCAACAGGCATATCCTCAACATATTTTACAAACATACATTCATTTGGCGATCGTAGGTCGTCACTGTGTGGGAAGAAGAAGTGAAGGCATAAGATAGACCCCTGAAGAAATGTGTAGTTGTTGGGAAGGACCGGGGATTTTCGCTTGCCACACTGGATGAACTGAGGGCGGCGAGGGAAATAGTTCCCTGTCCGAGAGGCAGCCCAGGCGGGGGAGCCGCGTGCAGACGTTCTATTAAGGAAGAGATGACGTATGATAGTTTTAAAGGTTGCAGAATAGTCAAGAAATGCATATATGCATGCACGGCAACAGTTATCTTAATCTCACAGAGCAGAATGGACCACAAGAGCAACCGACTAGGATACTACGCCTCACCATATTTTAAAATTGCAGGGGATTAAAAAAATCGGAGGCGAACGGCTTGATTGTGCCTAAGACAACTTGTTATGCAAGATTCGGTAGTGCGGAAGAGCGGACAACTTGACTCAATTATATGGGACCAAAACCAGAGGTTTTTCGGGGATGGGAGTGATGCTTACGCCAATCGTCCGGAATCTTGAGCTCTATTAAGGGCGAGTTGATAATACATAGTAGTAAATATTTAAGATGGGATCGCGTTCACCGATCTGGCTACTGTATTTGCTCCTCCCACTGTGAACTGGGGCTCAAATTAGAGGTTTCACAGATAGTCGTATAGCAATGAGTAATATATGCAGAGATCGCAGTATCGAAAAAGGCGAGAGAGTGAGAGATACTGGGAAGGCCATTCCTAGCCCATTGGCAGTCGTTAGTTTGCTATACTCAATCACAGACGTGGATAAACCAGGCCTCTGCCTCTGGGGACTGTTTAATGACAGTCAAATGAGAAGGCAGGAATTAGACACGGGGTGGGCGTTTGAGTAGGGTTCCCACTTTGAGTTGTGTAATCGTTAGAAATGGGTTTTTCTGTACAAAAAACATTATTTGCGGTTGCATCACATTTACTTGCGATACACCTGCCTAAACTGTCAGGGCTAACACAAATCGTGTGGCGGTTTTGGAAGTGCGGCTGAGTCGACACATATCAAGGCGGTCCTCAGGTACTTCTTTGTCTGGTTAGCGATGTGTCCTCAATTCTGATTGCTCAATGTCCGATTGGACATTGTTTCAATGCGTGTCTTTTGTGTGAAAATGACTTGCTCTTACTTGCTCTGTGAGAATACACGCTGCTTGCGGTCGCTCGTGCTCTCTTGCTTCTCTCGTACGGGCCTTGGGTACAGCAGTCGGGCTATCTCAAAGTTCGTGCTAATTACAAGTTCCGGGTGCGGGTCATAATGCAAAGGACCTATTGGAGTGTTTTAAGCTACTAAAGAAAACCCGTACCACTGCAATCTTCGGTCCGGTTCCTTTGGAAAAGAGAAGAATTGTGTATTTTGTACAGAAGTAGTGGATAATGGGCGGGATGATTTTAACTATTGGAAGGATGCACAAATATCCGCGAGCGGGTCGCCTCTGAAGTGTGTGGGCTCGACAGTCTTCCCAGTGTGGTTCTGGTACAGGGAGATGATTGGCCAGACCGTAATGGCGTAGTCAAACTGATGCATGCGCACATGCTAGCAGCCGCAACAGATTGAGCATTGACGCAGTTTGCAGCACACATGATTGGTTGTTCCGGGAGCGGGCAAAGGTCTACACCTACGTGGCCTCATGCGTGGGGTGCGCTGGAGTATCTGTACAAGTGCTCTAAGTTGGGGTATTAATTTCTCAAGAATGTGTGTCAATATGTGAACAGAAAAGCCTCCGGGAATGTAATCTATTACGCGTAATTAAAAAAATTTAATTTTTATAAAAATCCTTTTCCAAACCTATGCGTTAAGGTCTTCCCCTAATTACAGAGGTCTATTCAATATCATTCTCAAGAGGATAACGCCTTCGATGAAAATGTGCCTTCCAGCCCTTAATATTTTTAGCCTTTGTTCAATAAAGTGTTGGCTATTTTTTTCAGATTTCAGGACCGTTGCTTCTTAAGATGGAAGTGGAAGATACGTTCGGGCTGAATACTGGGAACTTCTTCCTGACAATACACGAAAAACAGTTGTCTAGTCAAGGTAGCTGGCTTCTTCAAAAAAGTCCGCCAGTCGTCTATGTGAGACTGGATACCAATGACAAAAGTAAGTGCGCCCCGAATCTTGCAGAATTTGCCAGATTTCTCATA